TGGTGGAAGGGTGGTAGTGGTTGTGATGATGGTAGAGGGTAGTAGTGATAGTGGTAGAGGTGGTAGTGATGTGTTGTGGTAGAGGGTGGTAGTGATTGTGGTAGGTGTGTGGTAATGATGGTTAGTGGTGGTAGTGGTTGTGATTATGGTAGAGGGTGGTAATGTGGTGGTAGAGGGTAGTATTGATGGTGGTAGAGGGTGGGTGTAGTGGTAGAGGGTGGTAGTGATTGTGGTGGATTGTGGTAGTAAGGTGGTAGAGGGTGGTTGATTGGGTAAGGGTGTAGTGATGATGGGAGAGGGTGGTAGTGGTGGTGGTAGAGGGTGGTAGTGGTGGTGGTGAGGGTGGTAGGGTGTGGTAGAGGGTGGTAGTGGTGGTGGTAGAGGGGTGGTGAGATGATTGTGATGGTGGTAGATGGTGGTAGTGGTTGTGATGGTAGTAGTGGTTGTGATGGTGATAGTGGTTGTGATGGTGGTAGAGGGTGATAGTGGTTGTGATGGTGGTGGTGAGGGTGGTAGAGATAACCTCTCCTTCCTCACCATCTTCCTCACCATCTTCCTAACCATCTTCCTCTCACTTCCTCACCATCTTCCTCACCATCTTCCTCACCATCTTCCTCACCATCTTCCTCCACTTCCTCACCATCTTTCCAGCACAATTTCCTCACCATCTTCCTCACCATCTTCCTCTCACTTCCTCACCATCTTCCTCACCATCTTCCTCACCATCTTCCTCACCATCTTCCTCACCATCTTCCTCACACTCCCTCACCATCTTCCTCACCATCTTCCTCACCATCTTCCTCACCATCTTCCTCACCATCTTCCTCACCATCTTCCTCACCATCTTCCTCACCATCTTCCTCTCACTTACCTCACATCTTCCTCACCATCATCCTCACCATCTTCCTCACCATCTCCTCACCATCTTCCTCACCATCTTCCTCACCATCTCCACTCACTTCCTCACCACTTCCTCACCATCTTCCTCACCATCTTCCTCACATCCTTCTCACATCTCCCACCATTCCTCACCATCTCTCACCATCTTCCCTCACTTCCTCACCATCCTCCTCACCATCTTCTCCAGCACCATCTTCCTCACCATCTTCCTCACCATCTCCTCACCACTTCCTCACCATCTCCCTCACATCTTCCTCACCATCTTCCTCACCACTCTCCTCACATCTTCCTCCACTCCTCACCATCTTCTCACCATCTCCCTATTCCTCACCATCTTCCTCACCATCTTCCTCACCATCTTCCTCACCATCTTCCTCACATATCCTCTCAACTTCCTCACCATCTTCCTCACCATCTTCCTCACCACTTCCTCACCATCTCCCTCACCATCTTCCTCACCACCTCCTCACCATCTTCCTCACCATCTTCCTCACCATCTTCCTCACCATCTTCCTCACCATCTCCCTCACCATCTCTCACCATCTTCCTCACCATCTTCCTCACCATCTTCCTCTCATTCCTCACATCTTCCTCACCATCTTCTCCCATCTCCTCACATCTTCCTCACCATCTTCCTACTCCTCACCATCTTCCTCACCATCTTCCTCACCACTTCCTCACCATCTTCCTCACCATCTTCCTCACCATCTTCCTCACCATCTTCCTCACCATCTTCCTCTCACTTCCTCACCATCTTCCTCACCATCTCACTGTCACTTCCTCACCATCTTCTCACCATCTTCCTCACCATCTCCCTCACCATCTTCCTCACCATCTTCCTCACCATCTTCCTCACCATCTTCCTCACCATCTTCCTCACCATCTTCCTCACCATCTTCTCCACTTCCTCACCATCTTCCTCACCATCTTCTCACCATCTCCTCACCATCTCCTCACCATCTTCCTCACCATCTCCTCACCATCTTCCTCACCATCTTCCTCTCACTTCCTCACCATCTTCCTCACCATCTTCCTCACCATCTTCCTCACCATCTCCCTCACCCATCTTCCTCACCATCTTCCTCACCATCTTCCTCCACCATCTTCCTCACCATCTTCCTCACCAATCTTCCTCACCATCTTCCTCACCATCTTCCTCACCATCTTCCCTCACCATCTTCCTCACCATCTTCCTCACCATCTTCCTCACCATCCCCCTCACACCATCTTCCTCACCATCTTCCTCACCATCTTCCTCACCATCTTCCTCACCATCTTCCTCACCATCTTCCTCTCACTTCCTCACCATCTTCCCTCACCATCTTCCTCACCATCCCACTCTACCATCTTCCTCTCACCATCTTCCTCACCATCTTCCTCACCATCTTCCTCACCATCTTCCTCTCACATTCCTCACCATTTCCCTTCCTCACCATCTTCCTCACCATTCTTCCTCACCATCTTCCTCACCATCTTCCACATCCCACTCTTCCTCACCATCTTCCTCACCATCTTCCTCACCATCTTCCTCACCATCTCCTCACCATCTCCCTCACCATCTTCCTCACCATCTTCCTCACCATCTTCCTCACCATCTTCCTCACCATCTTCCTCACCATCTTCCTCACCATCTTCCTCACCATCTTCCATACACCAACAAGAGTCTTCAATAAAAGTGTTTTAAATATTCATTTATCCATTTCATTAATGCTTTATATTTATTTTTATTGTTTTCTGTATGTAAAACTATAATTATTTTCAATAAATGTATTTTTTGTTAATATTTTTGGGTGTCTGGAACGGATTAATGGGATTTACAATATTTCGTATGGGAAATATTACTTCAGTTTCCGTACAAATCAGTTTTTGGCCGACCTTCTGGAACGGATTAAAAACGAAAACCGGGGTTCCACTGTATGTTTATCATCTTTACCATTGGCAATGGAGACTTCCATAGGCCAGTCAACGATCCCTAGCTCTGCTGTGAAGTTACTTATTGAGGCCTCGTCGTGGAGTCTAAAAGAAACTTTGTTGTATTCCAGTGGTTGTTTACTAATGTTTGTTAAGACTAAGGTGGGGTAGTGGTCAGTACTGCTGTCTGTGATTATCCCTGATTTAAGTGGGGCTAGTACAGTGGACCCCCGGTTAACGATATTTTTTCACTCCAGAAGTATGTTCAGGTGCCAATACTGACCGAATTTGTTCCCATAAGAAATATTGTGAAGTAGATTAGTCCATTTCAGACCCCCAAACATACACGTACAAATGCACTTACATAAATACACTTACATAATTGGTCGCATTCGGAGGTAATCGTTATGCGGGGGTCCACTGTATATTAGTTTATACATGGTCAGTTATGGTTGCACTTGTCTCAGTTAGCTTGGTTGGTTTAGTTATAGTTGGTACAAAAAGTGTGTTGTTCATATTATTGATGAAATCAATTACTGGCTAGTCATCTGTTAGTCCAAGGTTAATGTTGAAGTCTCCGGCTAAGAGAAGGTGATGCTTTTTCATTTGGTTGTTTGTTATTAGTGTCTTTAATTTATCACTAAAATTTGGGATGTTTGTATGAGGCATCCAGTAAATGGCACCCATTGTTATAGGAGTCTTAAGGTTCTTACAGTAAAATGTGCAAAAATATATTCTCCATATTCGTCGCTATAGCAAGTGGTGCTACAACAAGATAGTTCATTACAGTAATAGATGGCAATACCTCCCCCAACTTGGTATGGTCTGCAGTTGTGGATTGTTGTGTATTCTGGTACTGAGTACATATATGTTGTGTCGTGCTTAAGCCAGGTTTCAGTGAGAATAATACAGGAGAAAGTTGTCCTTAGGGAATCAAGGAGTGCCAGGAGGTACTCTACATTTATTAATAGGGTAATCCTGTATTCATTTATTTACTTTTCAATACAGGTATTTAGTTACAGTAATTATTTGGTTATTTACTTATTCAGTGGCAGTAGTTATTTATTTACTTATCGTATATCCACATTCGACTTACAATATTTTCAACTCAAGATGGGTTCAGAGCAACATAATCCCATCGTAAGTCAAGGAGCTCCTGTAGCTTAGTGTGTCTCAGCTACTGTGCTACACAACTCATCTCTTGGCATTCACCGGAGAAACAAGGGAAGTATACACAAATAACCCACACATAGGAGAATACTGGTTCCCTTCCCTTCACATTCCTGTGTGACTAGTTAATAGTCCATGTCAGACTGAAATGTCGTCATAAGTTTCATTCTCCCATGTGCTGGTTATTTGTGTGTTGTTCCAGTCACAGTAATGTGAATTTTTATTCTTTCTTGAAAGAACGTAAGAATGGAGGAACACTGCCGGAGGCCTACTGGCCCATACTAGGAAGGTCCTTCTCAAACCCAAACCCACTAACAAAAATATTTGCCCAACCCATTTTCAATGATACCCAAGCAATAAGCTTTGTATTAGGAAGATCTCAAAATTGATGGTTTAGCATACAATAGATAAGTAAGTTTATTCAAGTACAGGTATACATAAATACATAACAAAAAGGCACAATACCGTGACTGGAACGATGCACAAATACCTGCACATAAAAGAGAGAAGCTTACGACGACGTTTCGGTCCGACTTGGACCATTGACAAAGTCACACTGTGACTTTGTGACTTTGTCAATGTGTGTGACTTTGTCAATGGTCCAAGTCGGACCGAAACGTCGTCGTAAGCTTCTCTCTTTTATGTGCGGGTATTTGTGTATACATAAATACAGTTACATAGATTATCATACATAGCATCATGTGTGTAGATCACCCATCAGGAGAAACAAAAAGAGTCAGACAAAGTGACTTATTTCCATTGGGGTCCTACACCACACTGAGGTCAGTGTGGTGTAGTTTCATGGATGTTTTATACAGCAGAAATACTGTATTTTACAGTGATCTACTTGATACAGTACTCTGAAAAATCCCACTGGACAAAAATGATCCACTGGATGAAATTTCTGGATCATCACAGTAATGATGTACAGTACTTACAGGTTCATGAATAAAATACGTCTGTTACATTTCAGGTGACTACAGTCAATGAATACAGTCTAACATCCCTTACATTTTCAGGTCAATACAGTCAATGAATACGGCTTAACGCCACTCATGCTGGCGTGCATCCGGGGTGATGAACCAATGGTCAACATGTTACTGGACGCTGGGGCTGACGTAGATGCTGAGACACCACCGACGGGTCCGGCCTACCTCATGGCCAACCCTGAGACGCAACACTGGACAGCTCTCACCTACGCGGCCATACATGGCCATATTAACCTGGCCAAGACCCTGCTGGAGAAGGGCGGCAATGTTGAGGGCGGCGCCAGGCTGGCCGAAGAGAAATGTACAGAAACACCACTACAGGTGAGTTGCTGGTGGCAGTAGTAAGAGCAGTATTAGTAGTGGTAATAGTGGTATTAGTAGTAGTAAAAGTAATAGTAGTGGTATTAGTAGTAGTAATAGTAGGGATATTAATAGTAGTAATAGTAGGGATAGTAGTAGTAGTAACAGTGGTATTAGTAATAGTGGTATTAACAGTAGTACAGTGGACCCCCGGTTAACGATATTTTTTCACTCCAGAAGTATGTTCAGGTGCCAGTACTGACCGAATTTGTTCCCATAAGGAATATTGTGAAGTAGATTAGTCCATTTCAGACCCCCAAACATACACGTACAAACGCACTTACATAAATACACTTACATAATTGGTCGCATTCGGAGGTAATCGTTATGCGGGGGTCCACTGTAGTAGTAGTAGTGATAATAGTGGTATTATTATTATTAGTAGTAGTAGTATTAGCAGTATTTTATTATTACTTTTTATTATCACACTGGCCGATTCCCACCAAGGCAGGGTGGCCCGAAAAAGAAAAACTTTCACCATCATTCACTCCATCACTGTCTTGCCAGAAGGGTGTTTTACACTACAGTTTTTAAACTGCAACATTAACACCCCTCCTTCAGAGTGCAGGCACTGTACTTCCCATCTCCAGGACTCAAGTCCGGCCTGCCGGTTTCCCTGAATCCCTTCATAAATGTTACTTTGCTCACACTCCAACAGCACGTCAAGTATTAAAAACCATTTGTCTCCATTCACTTCTATCAAACACGCTCACGCATGCCTGCTGGAAGTCCAAGCCCCTCGCACACAAAACCTCCTTTACCCCCTCCCTCCAACCTTTCCTAGGCCGACCCCTACCCCACCTTCCTTCCACTACAGACTGATACACTCTTGAAGTCATTCTGTTTCGCTCCATTCTCTCTACATGTCCGAACCACCTCAACAACCCTTCCTCAGCCCTCTGGACAACAGTTTTGGCAATCCCGCACCTCCTCCTAACTTCCAAACTACGAATTCTCTGCATTATATTCACACCACACATTGCCCTCAGACATGACATCTCCACTGCCTCCAGCCTTCTCCTCGCTGTAGCATTCATCACCCATGCTTCACACCCATATAAGAGCGTTGGTAAAACTATACTCTCATACATTCCCCTCTTTGCCTCCAAGGACAAAGTTCTTTGTCTCCACAGACTCCTAAGTGCACCACTCACCCTTTTCCCCTCATCAATTCTATGATTCACCTCATCTTTCATAGACCCATCCGCTGACATGTCCACTCCCAAATATCTGAATACATTCACCTCCTCCATACTCTCTCCCTCCAATCTGATGTCCAATCTTTCATCACCTAATCTTTTTGTTATCCTCATAACCTTACTCTTTCCTGTATTCACTTTTAATTTTCTTCTTTTGCACACCCTACCAAATTCATCCACCAATCTCTGCAACTTCTCTTCAGAATCTCCCAAAACCACAGTGTCATCAGCAAAGAGCAACTGTGACAACTCCCACTTTATGTGTGATTCTTTATCTTTTAACTCCATGCCTCTTGCCAAGACCCTCGCATTTACTTCTCTTACAACCCCATCTATTAATATATTAAACAACCACGGTGACATCACACATCCTTGTCTAAGGCCTACTTTTACTGGGAAATAATTTCCCTCTTTCCTACATACTCTAACTTGAGCCTCAGTATCCTCGTAAAAACTCTTCACTGCTTTCAGTAACCTACCTCCTACACCATACACCTGCAACATCTGCCACATTGCCCCCATATCCACCCTGTCATACGCCTTTTCCAAATCCATAAATGCCACAAAGACCTCTTTAGCCTTATCTAAATACTGTACACTTATATGTTTCACTGTAAACACCTGGTCCACACACCCCCTACCTTTCCTAAAGCCTCCTTGTTCATCTGCTATCCTATTCTCCATCTTACTCTTAATTCTTTCAATAATAACTCTACCATACACTTTACCAGGTATACTCAACAGACTTATCCCCCTATAATTTTTGCACTCTCTTTTGTCCCCTTTGCCTTTATACAAAGGAACTATGCATGCTCTCTGCCAATCCCCAGGTACCTTACCCTCTTCCATACATTTATTAAATAATTGCACCAACCACTCCAAAACTATATCCCCACCTGCTTTTAACATTTCTATCTTTATCCCATCAATCCCGGCTGCCTTACCCCCTTTCATTTTACCTACTGCCTCACGAACTTCCTCCACACTCACAACTGGCTCTTCCTCATTCCTACAAGATGTTATTCCTCCTTGCCCTATACACAAAATCACAGCTTCCCTATCTTCATCAACATTTAACAATTCCTCAAAATATTCCCTCCATCTTCCCAATACCTTTAACTCTCCATTTAATAACTCTCCTCTCCTATTTTTAACTGACAAATCCATTTGTTCTCTAGGCTTCCTTAACTTGTTAATCTCACTCCAAAACTTTTTCTTATTTTCAACAAAATTTGTTGATAACATCTCACCCACTCTCTCATTTGCTCTCTTTTTACATTGTTTCACCACTCTCTTAACCTCTCTCTTTTTCTCCATATACTCTTCCCTCGCATCATTTCTACTTTGTAAAAACTTCTCATATGTTAAAGTTCTCCCTTACTACTCTCTTTACATCATCATTCCACCAATCGCTCCTCTTCCCTCCTGCACCCACTTTCCTGTAACTACAAACTTCTGCTGAACACTCTAACACTACATTTTTAAACCTACCCCATACCTCTTCGACCCCATTGCCTATGCTCTCATTAGCCCATCTATCCTCCAATAGCTGTTTATATTTTACCCTAACTGCCTCCTCTTTTAGTTTATAAACCTTCACCTCTCTCTTCCCTGATGCTTCTATTCTCCTTGTATCCCATCTACCTTTTACTCTCAGTGTAGCTACAACTAGAAAGTGATCTGATATATCTGTGGCTCCTCTATAAACATGTACATCCTGAAGTCTACTCAACAGTCTTTTATCTACCAATACATAATCCAACAAACTACTGTCATTTCACCCTACATCATATCTTGTATACTTATTTATCCTCTTTTTCTTAAAATATGTATTACCTATAACTAAACCCCTTTCTATACAAAGTTCAATCAAAGGGCTCCCATTATCATTTACACCTGGCACCCCAAACTTACCTACCACACCCTCTCTAAAAGTTTCTCCTACTTTAGCATTCAGGTCCCCTACCACAATTACTCTCTCACTTGGTTCAAAGGCTCCTATACATTCACTTAACATCTCCCAAAATCTCTCTCTCTCCTCTACAGTAATAGTGGTAATAATAGTGGTATTAGCAGTAGTAGTAGTAATAATAGTAGTAATAGCTACATTAGTAGTAGTAGTGGTATTAGTAATAGTAATAGTAGTAGTAATAACAGTGGTATTAGCAGTAGTAGTAGTAATAATAGTGGTAATAGTAGTAGTATTAGCAGTAATAGTAGTAGTATTAGTAGTATTAGCAGTAGTAGTAGTGGTGGTAATAGTAGTGATAGTAGTAATAATAATAGTAGTAGTAGTTAAAGAAGTCGTAGTAGTGATAGCAGTATTGGTATTAGTATAGTGATAGTAGTAATTGTAGTAGTAGTAGTTGTGAGCTGAGTGTTACCTTCCATGTGGGTTTAGCTCACTGTGGTGGTCATGGTTTACTCAATAGTAATAGCTCGACTCCCTTGGATCAAGAACCTTGATCCCATGAAATCTAATTGTAAAAATGTGGATTTAATAGAGATTTAAGATTTAATATGTTATAAATTAATGTATTATACAGTTAGTGCATTATACACTTAATTTATTATACTCTGAATGTATTATACAGTTAGTATATTATACACTTAATGTATTACACAGTGTGTTATACAATTAGTGTATTATATAGTGTAGTCAATATAGTATTGTATGATGTATTTAGTGTTCTTGTTGTAGGTTGCGGCGGCAGCTGGTCACACAGACATGATGGCTCTGCTCTTGTCGTATGGCGCTAACCCGTACCTCTCCACACTGATGAAAGATTCACTGTGTTACTCCGGCGCTGCCCAGCGTGGTTGTTATGCCGCAATCGCTGTTGCTGCCGCTCACGGTCAGAAGTCTATCCTGCATAAGCTTTTGTCGCAGCCACAGGTACGCCAGGCAATGCCCTTCCAGCAAAGTCATAGAAATTAATTGCTGGATATTGGGTTCAAACCCATGGCTTTCTAGGCCTAGAACTCACACAAGTTTTAAGCCTAGCTTCCCATGGGTTCATGCCTAATCGTGTTCTGTGATTTGTTTGAAATTGTGCACTTGCGATTTTGAGTCAGTCATAAAAACTACAGTTATGGAGATGTGGTAAACCCACTAAAGTTACAGCACCTGGATGGGAGGTAATTAGGTTTGATCAGCAGAAAGAAATCATAACTTCAATCATTGTAAATTACAGGAAGTCCTTAACTTAATCCTTAAACTGTCCAAACCTAGATGTACGTTTGCATGTGTAGCGCTCCGAACGCAGATCTTCATTTTTTTACATAAGAAACAATGTAAAATTGAATGCAGATCTACGTTCGGAGCTCTACGTGTGCGAATGTAGATCTACGTTTGGACAGTTTAAGGGTTAAAGACATACTGGGGACCTCCTGACTTGTGTATAATATTCAGATTACGAGAAGTTTTCATCTTAAAAACATGTTGGGACCTTCCCTATTGTGTATAATAATGATATACACAATAATCTTGTAATTGTTTTACATGATGATAGGACTTTTGGTGTCTTTTTCCTGTCTCATAAATATGCAAGATTTCAGGTATGTCTTCCTACTTCTACTTAGGTCACACTACACATGCATGTACAAGCATATATATACACACCCCTCTGGGTTTTCTTCTATTTTCTTACTAGTTGTTCTTCTTTCTTTCAACACACCGGTCGTATCCCACCGGGGCGGGGTTACCTGGGTGGCCCAAAAGGAAAAACAAAAGTTTCTCCTTTTACATTTAGTAACATATACAGGAGAAGGGGTTACAAGAACCTTGCTCCCGGCATTTTAGTCGCTCTTACAACATGCATGGCTTACGGAGGAAGAATTCTGTTCCACTTCCCCATGGAGATAAGAGGAAATAAACAAGAACAAGAACTAGAAAGAAAATAGAAGAAAAACCTGGAGAGATGAGTAGTATATATATGCTTGTATATGTATGTGCAGTGTGACCTAAGTGTAAGTAGAAGTAATAAGATGTACCTGAAATACTAGTTGTTCATGTTCTTCTTTGTTTCTTCTTATATCCATGGGGAAGGGGAACAGAATTCTTCCTCCATAAGCCATGCGTGTTATAAGAGGCGACTAAAATGTCGGGAGAAAGGGCTAGTAATCTCTTCTCCTGTATACAACAAACCGGCCGTATCCCACCCTGCCTTGGTGGGATACAGCCAGTTTGTTGAAAGAAGAGGATACACAGTAATTATATAATAATATTATACACAATACAGATTCTCAGTGTGTTCACAATCTGAGTACTTACAATAGTTAATATACAGTGGAACCTCTGTGTTTGAACTTAAGTGGTTCCTAGGTAGTGTTGGAACTGGAAAAGTTGGATGTGGGAAACAGTATTTGCAAGGCTTTATCATCCTCACACTGGAGGATATACAGACAAAGATCACAGTCAGCAGGATTTGAACCCAGTACAGGACTGAGGAGAAGCCCAGAAGCCTTGCCGTCGAGTCTAGCCTAGTGGAACTGAGGAGGCCTCTAGCTTGCGGCACAAATGTATGGGACTCGTGGCGTCACAGCAAAAAGGGAGCCTATCTATAAAGTAGCTGGGATTATCTAAGTATACTACACAAGTACACAGTAACAGTACTGACACAGTAAGACTGGCACGGTGAAGCTCTGCACTGCTTGGCCACAGACTCCTCAAAAACTGGGCAGCCTGGTATACCAGCCATGTTTCTACCCAGGCTGGGCACATCAGTGGGCAGCCTGGTGTACCAGCCATGTTTCTACCTAGGCTGGGCACATCAGTGGGCAGCCTGATGTACCAGCCATGTTTCTACCCAGGTCGGGCACATCAGTGGTCAGCCTGGTGTACCAGCCATGTTTCTACCCAGGCTGGGCACATCAGTGGGCAGCCTGGTGTACCAGCCATGTTTCTACCCAGGCTGGGCACATCAGTGGTCAGCCTGGTGTACCAGCCATGTTTCTACCCAGGCTGGGCACATCAGTGGTCAGCCTGGTGTACCAGCCATGTTTCTACTCAGGCCAGGCACATCAGTGGTCAGCCTGGTGTACCAGCCATGTTTCTACCCAGGCTGGGCACATCAGTGGGCAGCCTGGTGTACCAGCCATGTTTCTACCCAGGCTGGGCACATCAGTGGTCAGCCTGGTGTACCAGCCATGTTTCTACCCAGGCTGGGCACATCATTGGGCAGCCTGGTGTACCAGCCATGTTTCTACCCAGGCTGGGCACATCAGTGGTCCTTGCCAGTCTTCCCGTAGTGGATTCGACTCCTGCTGACTGTGAGCTGTCTCTCTATATACCCTCTCCCCCTCTTATTTCCACCTGGTAAATTGATATAAAAATCTCTTGTGAGGTCAGAACACTGGAGGATGTTGAACTGACTCTTCCAAAAGTTTCTGAGAGTCAAGTCAGTGTCAGAGGTCACTTCAAAGCACTTTCAAAACAAGGCTTTCCTGTAAAGTTTTTCTACAACTGAATTTTAAATAAGTCTGAGTTTGGACTCCAGAAAAATGTTCCAAGACTGGTTCAATTTTTATTCTGAACAAAACTGCTCAGACTCTGGTTTGTTTGAGGTCCGATGTGTTCCAACACTGGGGTTCCACTGTACTTAGAATCATTGGAATCTTTGCCATAACTGAAGAATGATTCAAATTTTCACTAGTGAGGGTTCCTGAACGCAAAGCTCATGCTGCTATCGGGGTGGCGTAAATCCCAATTTTTAACTGTAGTGTCGACACGCCTCTGGCACGACAATGATGGAGTGAGTGATAACGAAAGTGTTTCTTCATTTTTGGGTCATCCTACCTTGGTGGGAAGTGGCTGATGTGTTAATAAAAAAAAAAACTAAAAAATGCCTCTTCAGATCAGCTTCAAACTATTCATGATGAGGTGTTCTATATACAAGCATCCTGCACATAGGAAATTGAAATTTGTGATTGTAGTATATTACCATGTGATAACTTGTGATTATAGGATATTACCATATAATAACCTGTGACTGCCTGTTCTGAGTCCCTTTAATATCTAACTGTATTACCAACCTGTGCCACACTCTGCACTATTCCAGTTGCGTGCATTATGGTAGAGGGGGCTGGGGTTATGCACTTCAGGGATACTTTTTTGGATCATGCAGTGACTGAAATATGTTCAGTTTATATTCTATACATTCTTATTTTAATGTATATTTCTCAAATTTATCATTTTACAATGAATTTTCTTAATACATAAATCTCGAATAGTGCGAATTTTTATTTAGTGCTACTGCTATTTCTTTCCCTGAACCTCTTCAAATTGTATGAAAAAAATACGTATAATTCGAATAATTCAAATTTGAATAATGCGACCACTTCCTGAGATTCATTATTCAAACTAATAGAGACTTTGCTATACATAAAATTTACTCAAATAATGGTAGATATTGACCAAACTCAGAGATGGTCAGTGTTTACCTGGAGTTTACCTGGAGAGAGTTCCGGGGGTCAACACCCCCACGGCCCGGTCTGTGACCAGGCCTCCTGGTGGATCAGAGCCTGATCAACCAGGCTGTTACTGTTGGCTGCACGCAAACCAACGTACGAGCCACAGCCCGGCTGGTCAGGAACCGACTTTAGGTGCTTGTCCAGTGCCAGCTTGAAGACTGCCAGGGGTCTGTTGGTAATCCCCCTTATGTGTGCTGGGAGGCAGTTGAACAAATAATTTAAATTTTGAATTCCCCCCCTTGCAGCATGCATCAGCCAGAGAGGTGCTGTCCTTGGAGGAAATCCTGGCAGAGGGCGCTAACGGCAACACCTGTGACCGTGACCGCCGACCTGGGCGCCAGATGTGCATCATAGACGACCCTGTGGGACGAGGAAGCATCGCCTCATCTGACTCGTCGCAGGTTGTCAAACTCACCAAGCAGCAGATCAAGACGCTTCAGGAGGCCATGTATCACTCGGCAGAATCCGGCCATCTGGGTATGCCCTCATCTTGAGTTCTGACACAGTATTAACCCCTTGATTTAACAGGCTTCATAAATCTGGGACAAAATCCACATATCACTCAGCAGAAGCCAGCCATCTTGGCATGCCCTCAGCCTAAAATTTGATACAGCAGTAACCCTTTGTAGGTTTTTTAGAGATGAATCCCACACCAGCAGTGTGGAATTCATCTCTGTGAATCTGCATTTACGGTCACAGTGGTGGCCCATGCTAACCTCCCTATAGTGTATAGAAATATACTTATTGTAGCCAGCTGGCCCAGTGATTAACACACTGGCCTGTGAGTCTTAGAACTCACTTACCATGAGGTCAAACCCCACCTGCTCCATGATTTCTAGCGAGTATGTTAGTAACACCCATATTAAACCCATTCCTGTACCTATTATGTGCCCCAGTAAACCTCTGACCAGTAGGGGACCTACATTTTTGTAGCCCAGAAGCTTGAACTGTTATGTGGGTGCTTTTTCAACCCTATCTCTTACAGTAGACCCAAAGTTTTTAAATAATGTGGACTAAAGTCACATCTGGGGCCCCTCTGGGATTAAGGGCCCTGAAGCTTATAAGCAGTGTGGACTAAAGTCACTTTTGGGGCCCCTCCGGAATTAGGGGCGCTGAGGCTTAAGCTTCATTAATCTCATAGTAGATCAGCCCCTGCCTCTGACTACTACCCACAGGACGAGTAGAGGACACATAATGAGGCACTGAAACTAAAACATCAACATCGATTTTTCCACCAGAAATGACTTTGGACTTGCGGAACCTGGGCGTGCCGTGGACCTTACATTGCTGGATGCATACATTGGCCACTGCACATGAGCACCGCCTTGAGTCCATCATTGATCAATTGTTGCAAGACTTTCTCCAGGTTTGGCCAGATGATTATTCTGCTCAGTTTGTGGATGAATGTCTACCACTACTCTTCACTATCTTCAGATACAGTAAGGTTAGTTCTGTGTTACATATATAAATTACATATATATACGTGTCTCTATATATGTCGTACCTAATAAGCCAAACTTCCTGAATAGGCCAAACTCCCTTCAAAATTTACGTTTTCCAAAAAATTCTCCTACAGATTGATAGCTAATGTTTTTTCATTGACAGTGATGTAAATATTTTTATTTTTGGACCAAAACTAACATAGAAACCTCAGCTAACCTCCCTTAAACTAATGTCATGTTATTTGGCTAAATTCTCCTATATATATATATATATTATTTATATAGCCCAAAAGGAAAAACGAAAGTTTTTCCTTTTACATTTAGTAATATATACAGGAGAAGGGGTCACTAGCCCCTTGCTCCCGGCATTTTAGTCGCCTCTTACAACACGCATGGCTTACGGAGGAAGAATTCTGCTCCACTTACCCATGGAGATAAGAGGAAATAAACAAGAACAAGAACTAGAAAGAAAATAGCAGAAAACCCATAGGGGTGTGTATATATATGCTTGTACATGTATGTGTAGTGTGACCTAAGTGTAAGTAGAAGTAGCAAGACGTACCTGAAATCTTGCATGTTTATGAGACAGAAAAAAAAAGATACCAGCACTCCTACAATCGTGTAAAACAATTACAGGCTTCTGTTTTACACTCAGTTAGCAGGACGGTAGTACCTCCCTGGGGGGTTGCTGTCTACCAACCTACTACCTAGATAGTTTAAATTTATTTACTATTACATAACATCAATGATATATTATTTTTTCTTAATGCTCAGATCGATTTCTACTGATTTACTGCAAAAGCAAATTTTCATTCATCTTAATTGGCAATGTACATGCTTACCAAATAGGCCAAACTGAACAATTTGGCTTACATATTCTACAACGGCTTACCCATGGGGTCAGGGGCCCTAAAAAGAAAAACAAAAGTTTATTTTTTCATTTTTTACAAATTAAAAAAGGGTTACTACCCTTTGCCCCCGCATTTTAGTCACCCTTACAACATTTGGTTTTAAAGGGAGGGAAATTCATTCCACTTCCCCAGGGGGCTGATTTATATTTACAAAAAACCGATTCAAAAGCTGAGATCTTCGTGAATACAAAAAGGGACTGCCCTTCACACCAGCCTGTTTACGGGGTTTCTAAAAATTAGTCATATCCTTTCCAATTACCATTAGAATTCATATGATTCAATATTCTTCAGGATTACAACGGAGCTACTACTAAGAAATTAAAATTTAATAAATTTAAAAACAAAGGTAATTATAAAACAAAAAAAAAAAATAAATTTTCAAACAAATTAATAATAATCATTCTCTCGGACAGTATATTGCCTAAAAGCACATATCACTTTTAAAAGTTTAAGTCCCGTCTGGTACATTAACATTTAAAAATACAATAACAAAAATTTGGGTTATGTGTGTAAGTGCTCTAAGTAGTTCGCTATGTCTCACGACTCACTAGACTTAAACAAGTACGACAAAGTCCTCTCATAAACTAATTTTTTTGACCAACTGGAAAACAGAACACCCCTGCTTTAACGAAAAAAAGCAACCCAAAGCAATATAAAAGTAAACTGCACAAAATCGGGATCAGGAGAAATTAAAGAAAAAGTAGGGACCATCACGATCCTCCCAAAAGTAAAAAAAACCCTCCCATAACTGAATCTAATTTCACATAAAAAAATCACCGACTGTGATGTACACAGATACCAGTAAAAATTTAGGCAAAAGCACATCGGACCTGATTTTTTAGAGTGTCTTTGCGAAACACAACCTCAATAAAAAGGGAAAAATCACAAGTTATAAATTTTCTGTGAACAAGTCCCACAGAACCTACAAGAAACTAGAGACAATTTTCCAACAATGCCTATAAAAAATTTTGGGCATTTTGTCGGAATACGCCCAAACCCCCAAAGCGGTCTAACCAGACTGCATATTTTCAGCGAGGTGGGGACACCCCCCCCCCCCCTCGATCACAGATAGCTCCTGGACACCTTTGCCACAACAGAAGCCGGCAATAACGAGCCAAAGCGATAATTACATAGTTAACAATCAAGCTTAACAGAGCACAAAATATTTTACATCCTACCTAAAAACATAAATAAGTCAAATAATAATATAAAGCAATACATTTACGTTTTTAGCTATTATCGCAAATATAAACAATATAAATATAGAAAATGAATGTACATGTAATATTATATCATTGTAACCCATTCGGGGGTTGCAACGTATAGATAGCACAAAAACGTGACCTAAGTTAATAGAAAAAAATATAACTGTTATCCCGCATGTTTATAACACAAAAAACACCACAATCCTACACATAACAAAAAAAAAAGGGTTCTGTTTAAAACACCATTTGCGGGATGGTAGTACCTCCGAGTGGTTGTTGTTTACCAGCAATTAACACAGATGGAGTCCTCCCTGAGGGGTTGTTTTCTACCAGCATAAACACATATGGTAGTACCTCCCGATGGTTGTTGTTACCCCATTAACACAGATGTATACTTCCGGTGGTTTTGTTTACCACAATTAACACATAGGGATACCTCCCTGAGTGGTTTTTTACCAGCATATTAACACAGGATGGTATACCCCCCTGAGGGGTTGTTTTTTTACCACATATTAACACATGATGGTATATTTCCCTGAGGTTTGTTGTCTACCAGCATATTAACACAGGAGGGTATCCCTCCCTGAGGGGTTTTTTTGCAAACCAGCATTTTAAAAACAGGATGGTAGTACCTCCCATGGTTTTTTGTCTACCCATATTAACACATGAGGAGAAATCCCGAGTGGTTGTTGTCTACCACATATTAACAGAGGAGGGTATCCCCTCCCTAGTGGTTTGGTTTTCCCAGATATTAAACAGGAGGTATACCTCCCTGATGGTTGTTTTTTTACCAGCATATTAAAAACGGATGGTAGACCTCCCTGAGGGTTGTTGTCTACCACATATTAACCAGATGGTAGTCCCCTCCCTGAGGGGTTTCTGTCTCCACAAAATAAACACGGAGGGTAGCCCTCCCTAGGGGTTTTGCTACCAGCATATTAACACGGGAGGGTAGTACCTCCCTGAGGGGTTGTTGTCTACCAGCATTTTAAACACGGGGAGGGTATACCCCCCGAGTGGTTTTTGCTACCAGCATATTAACACAAGGGTAGTACCTCCCTGATGGTTGTTGTTTCCAGCATATTAACACAGGAGGGTGTAACTCCCTGGGGGTTGTTGTCTACCAACCTACTACCACAGGATGGTAACCCCAGGGGTGGTTCTGCCCCAAACCACACCACGGGATGGTATACCTCCAGGGTGGTTGCGTTTTCCAACCAAATACCACAGGATAGTATACCACCCTGGGGGTTCTGTTCCCCAAAACAACAACCACAGAGGGATCCCCCCTTTTGTGGTTGCTGTCTACCAACCTATACCACAGGAGGTATACCTCCATGGGGGGTTCTGTCACCAACCACTACCACGGGAAATGGAGTCCCCTCCATGGGTGGTTGCTGTTACCAAACCTAATACCACAGGATGGAGTACTCCCGGGGGGTTTGCGTCTTCCAACCACTACCACAGATGGTAGCCCTCCAGGGGTGTTGCTGTCTACCAACCTAATACCACAGTGGAAGTACCCCCCCGGGTGGTTTTTGCTACCAAACCCCTATGACACAAGGGAGACCACCCGGGTGGTTGTTGTCTACCAACCACTACCACAGGAGGGAGTACCTCTCTGGGGGGTTTTCTACCCCTACAACCACAGGACAGAGTCCTCCCTGGGTAGTTGTTGTCTGCCCAACCTAACCCAGGGTAGTACCCTCCTGGGGGGTTGTCTACCACCCTCAACCACAGGACGTAGTACCTCCTGGGGGGTTGTTGTCTCCCAAACCCTACTACCATGGATGGTAATACCTCCCTGGGTGGTATTTCTCTACCATCCCACTACCATGGGAAAGGTATAACACCCGGGGGGTTTTTTGTCTCCCATGACACCACGGGATGGTAGTCCCCTCCGGGGTTTGGTTGTTGTCTCCCACCTTTAACACGGATGGTAGTACCTCCCGGGTGGTAGTCAGGGCCGGATTAAGAAGCTCCGGGCCCTGGGCATTCAATTGGCGGGCCTTTTGATTTACGGTAGCGAAGCGACCCCCTTCCAGCTTGGGGGGGGGGGGGGGGGTCGGGTGAGCCTGTTTAAGGTCTAATTAAATACATTCTGGCTTTTAGATTAAATTTAATAGGGGAAAAACATCAAGAAACCAAAACCATTTCCAACACCCGGGGGGCTGTGGCCCTGGCCTGGTGGCTAAAGCCCCCGCTTCACAAACCCCAGGGGCCCCGGTTCGTCCCGCGGGTTTTAAACTTTTGACACGTTTTCCTACACTATTGTCCTGTTTTACCCACACAAAAAAGGGACCCGGGTGTTAGTCGACTGGTGTGGGTCCATCCTGGGGGGCAAAATTGAGACCCCCAAAGGGAAAAAAGTTAGAATCCTCGATGACGCCTGACTTTTTTTGGGGTTTTCCTGGGGGTAACCCTCCGGGGTTAAAAAAACCAACGAAAAACTTATCATACTTTTAAATCATGCATTTTAAAGAGAAAAAACTCAAAACAGCAAAAATTTTCAGATTAGACTATTAAAGTAGTGCACAGACCTATTAATTTACTAACCACTACAGCACTATTATCCCTTATAAAACACTGACCATTTGTTATCATGCATCAGCATAAACTATCAAACATATAAACTCAAGAAAATAAAGAATTATTATATTTACAGGCATTTTAAAAAAAACTTTTTTCTGGATTTCATATTGGCAAAATCTCAATTATATCTGAAAATCAATATTTCTTGTTAGATCAGACTCAATGGGCAACAAGGCAGGTTACACAATTGTCTTGCTCATTTTGAACGGGGCTGTTTTTTACTTTTTCAAAACAGAAAATGAACGTTCTCCCCTTTACAGTTAGTACTGGGAATGTTAGTAAAGGCGATACACTATGTCAACATAGGGGAAAGGTTTCTGAATACCTGCATTTTTTAAATTTTTTAAAACAGCTGAGGGGGCACATTTTTTCAGGTGGAGCTTTAATCTGATTTATATACCCAAAAAAAGAACTATTTCCCTTCAAAAATGTGTCCTG